CGAAACAAATACATATCAATTAAAATTTTCATAATAGCATCAAAACTGTGGCCTCTGCTTATGGCTTGTGGGTGTCAGAGGGGGCGTGGCACCATTTTGAAACAAACTTGCGCTGCATAGGAATTCCTAAAATCTACATGCAAAATGCCAATCTTCTAGTTTTACAGTTTCCGAGATCACAGCGTTCATACGGACAGACATACAGACGGACAGACGGACATGGCTAGATCGACTGGGCTAGTGATCCTGAACAAGAATATATATACTTTATAGGGTCGGAAACGCTTCCTTCTACCTGTTACATACTTTTGCACGAATACAATATACCCTTTTACTCTACGAGTAACGGGTATAAAAACAGAATGCCAGAAGAAGAAGCTCACGGAGCCGAGGTCGAAGAAGACATCTGAATTAAACAGAAGCTCATAGACTTGGAAACACCGGATGAAGGCGACACCAACAGCCAAGGAAACGACCACAGCAACAGCACGGCAAACGAAGGCGACACCAAAAACCAAGGAAACAACCGCAGCAACAACACGGTAAACAATGGCAACAACAACAACCAAGGAAACGACACGGCAAACAACGGACAACGAAGCACGACCCCCCATGCCCAGAACCACAACCGGCACGACCACAAAAAAGCATGAGTTAGCGGATTTTCAACGACCACGGACGAAATGGGTAACCCAGCGGCGGCTCTCTTCCCTCGACTATACCGGAGTAAAACCGATCAATCTATCGGAGGAATGTGAAGAATGGGATCCAAAACCGCGGGGATACAACGACCACAAGAAAAGGGTAGAAGAAGCGGTTGTCCGTTTAAAGGCCACCTGGCGTAGTGGGAATAGAAGGACGAAACTGGTGGTCTCGGACAATCTCACGACCCGAATCCGCGCCCAAAACGATAAACCTGGCCACACTAACTACGCCGATACATCGATAGTCGACTGTATTCGTGACCCGATAATGAGTTATCGATATCGGGATTCTCGACATCGACCGCTCTGGGCACACTCAACGGGGCCTATATAAGCAGAGGCAAGACCCCAGATGAGTCACTTCCGCTCCGACGATCTTCGAGGAAACATCAGCAACAAGGTAAGTGTTCTGGTAGATAGTCTTGGTAGTAGTGGTGGATCCGTAAGAACTCGGTTTTTAAATCGGTTCTCCGACCTGGTGAGGATCACTGGCGTCCCGGTGTGGTTTCCTAGAAATCAGCCCAGACCCAGTCGTGATCACTGAGGCGGCCCGGTTTTCGTAATACAGGCTCACCTCAGGGAGTTCCCCAGACGTCACGTTCCCGGCTCCCGACCCAGAAACGAAACGGATGTAGAAACGGCAGTTCGAACCTAACGATGCCCGGCAGACCGAAACGATGCCCTACATTCCCGAATCCCACTTGAAATCCAAGTAGATCTCTCCCAACGGCCCAGAACACTTCGAACCCGACGTACGCACGACGAAGCGACTTCTCGGCCCATCCGCAGCGCCGACACTCGCAGCAAGCAGTTCACCACTCGGCCCTTCCGCAGCGCCGACACTCGCAGCAAGCAGTTCATCACTCGGCGCTTCCGCAGCGCCGAAGCTCGCATACCGAATCACGACAGCAAGCATATCATCACTCGGCCCTTCCGAAGCGCCGAATCGACAGAGCAAGCAGTCCCGACGCATCTACACACAACTACACGATCAACATACATTATACGATTACTTTGAAATACACGTCTCTAGTTTTACCCCTCTGTGTCATTATTGGGGAAAGGGAGGTAAATCGATCTATAGAGGAATAAATATAAATATCTGTGACGAACCCTGACCACGGCGAGCTATACAGTCTCCCAAAACAGGGTCGTTACAGTATGTTTGAATTAACTGGAAGAAAATGAAAATTGTTTTGATAAAACCCATCCATGGGAATAAACGAAACAAAAATACAAAATCGGAGCGCAGAAAAAAAACACGACCGTTCACTTTGAAAGTCAAAGACGATACTTTTAAATACAATAACGAGAGTAAGTAATAATTTAATTATTTTATTAAATTTGTTCGAAAAAAATGATTTCAATAATTATTCACAATGAAAACGACGAAAAAAAATATAAAATATCGCAATCGTCTTTGACTTTCAAAGTGAACGGTCGTGTTTTTTTTCTGCGCGGCGAATTTTGTATTTTGTTTCGTTTATTCCCATCGGTGGGTTTTATCAAAACAATTTTAATTTTCTTCCGGTTATTCAAACATAAATTTAAACTCCGTTCGCTTCGCGAGTGCACTTGTAATAATACTAACATATTGTTTTAGTTTTCGTAATTCTTATCTGTGTTTTCTTTTCTTATATCCCCGCCGTTTCTCTTTTGTGCACTTTAACTAATTTACGCTCCCACTGTCTTGCTCTCTTTGCTTTGAAAGTTCTAAGCGTGCAGTTTCTGCGCTCTTGAGGTACTTATAACTGCTCGCTTACAAATTTCAATTCGTTTTCTTGGTACAGTGGTTCCAATAAATAAAATGAATAATGCAAATTTAGTCTGCTTCTGCAAAAAATGCAGCTTCGTAATCGGGGCTGACCAGTCTAATATGACTTGCTGGCTGTGTGAAAATATGGTGCACACCAAGTGCGCCGGTTTTACTGGCCGGACAAGTGATTACCTTTCAAAGGGGCCCAATTTGCAGTTTTGTTGTGACGCTTGTGTCGAGGTTGCGAAAGAGATGAAATCGTTCATGCGCCAAACTAAAGGCGGCCTGAGATAGTTTTCGCCGAGCTGATGATCTCCTCTCTGCGCTGGAGAAGAGTCCCCTAAGCGCACAAAGGGTGTGAGTGGGTTTACCGGAACAGTCGAGTGAAATTTAAAAAGTATGCTAAACAGGGAGAATGCCGAACCCTAGCAGAATACCTGCAGTTAGCAAAAGAATTCGAGGCCCTCCAGCCACAGGAACGCACAACACAACAAACACCGGAAAATCACTGGACACAACAGCAGCGACCGGGAAATTTCGAGAGACAACAGCAAACATCTGGAAATTTTGGGAGACAAACAAGAAACCAATGGAGACCCCAGGAACCACCACAAGCACTGAACAGAGGAATCACAGGATCATTCAGCATGAATAATAGATGTTCAATGTGCAAAGGAGAGGGACACATAGGACACCAGTGCAACAACACACCAGCAGTGCTGGATATGCGGACATGATGGAATACGCACGATCCATTGCTGTCGCCGGAACGAAACGGCGGGAAACGCCAGAGGCCCATGGGATCAGAACGGGCACCCAGGGCAAACACCACACCCGCAACAGCAATAAACTTCAATAGCCGACGACTACTTGCACAAGTGAATATTGGCAACACAGGAGTTCGCGGGGCCATAGACACGGGAGCCACAAGAAGTTTCATCGCCAGGAAACTAGCCAACAACATAGCCAGGCATGGGATAAGGAAGCAAGTAACCGAAGCCATTAGACTAGCAGACAGGACAAACAGAACGGCCACAGAGGCACTGGAAGTACCAATATATCTCGGGAACCAAACAAGCATGACGACGCTGCTAATTCTCGAAGAGGTAATCGGCGACCTTCTACTGGGGACAGACTTCTTGGAACAATGTAACGCGACACTACAATGCGGAGGCATCACAGCGAGAATGAACATGAACAAAAGAAACAACAAGAGAGAACGCTATAGTCGAGTGCCTCGACTATTAGATACCCGTTACTCAGCTAAACAACTTAATATAAATATGCCTTCTTGTATGTTTTTCGCCGCTCGAATTAGCACCTTGGCCAGCTGTGCCAAAGTCATCCGTTAGATGGCGCTACCGTGGTACCACGGGCCATGAAAGGCGGAAATGTAGGCGCTAGCCAGGTTTAAGTGTTTAATGGGTTTTTGGGCGTTAGAGTGGGCGTGGCAAACTTTTATTAGGCCAATCGATAGGTATTGACGAAACAAATACATATCAATTAAAATTTTCATAATAGCATCAAAACTGTGGCCTCTGCTTATGGCTTGTGGGTGTCAGAGGGGGCGTGGCACCATTTTGAAACAAACTTGCGCTGCATAGGAATTCCTAAAATCTACATGCAAAATGCCAATCTTCTAGTTTTACAGTTTCCGAGATCACAGCGTTCATACGGACAGACATACAGACGGACAGACGGACATGGCTAGATCGACTGGGCTAGTGATCCTGAACAAGAATATATATACTTTATAGGGTCGGAAACGCTTCCTTCTACCTGTTACATACTTTTGCACGAATACAATATACCCTTTTACTCTACGAGTAACGGGTATAAAAACAGAATGCCAGAAGAAGAAGCTCACGGAGCCGAGGTCGAAGAAGACATCTGAATTAAACAGAAGCTCATAGACTTGGAAACACCGGATGAAGGCGACACCAACAGCCAAGGAAACGACCACAGCAACAGCACGGCAAACGAAGGCGACACCAAAAACCAAGGAAACAACCGCAGCAACAACACGGCAAACAATGGCAACAACAACAACCAAGGAAACGACACGGCAAACAACGGACAACGAAGCACGACCCCCCATGCCCAGAACCACAACCGGCACGACCACAAAAAAGCATGAGTTAGCGGATTTTCAACGGCCACGGACGAAATGGGTAACCCAGCGGCGGCTCTCTTCCCTCGAATATACCGGAGTAAAACCGATCAATCTATCGGAGGAATGTGAAGAATGGGATCCAAAACCGCGGGGATACAACGACCACAAGAAAAGGGTAGAAGAAGCGGTTGTCCGTTTAAAGGCCACCTGGCGTAGCGGGAATAGAAGGACGAAACTGGTGGTCTCGGACAATCTCACGACCCGAATCCGCGCCCAAAACGATAAACCTGGCCACACTAACTACGCCGATACATCGATAGTCGACTGTATTCGTGACCCGATAATGAGTTATCGATATCGGGATTCTCGACATCGACCGCTCTGGGCACACTCAACGGGGCCTATATAAGCAGAGGCAAGACCCCAGATGAGTCACTTCCGCTCCGACGATCTTCGAGGAAACATCAGCAACAAGGTAAGTGTTCTGGTAGATAGTCTTGGTAGTAGTGGTGGATCCGTAAGAACTCGGTTTTTAAATCGGTTCTCCGACCTGGTGAGGATCACTGGCGTCCCGGTGTGGTTTCCTAGAAATCAGCCCAGACCCAGTCGTGATCACTGAGGCGGCCCGGTTTTCGTAATACAGGCTCACCTCAGGGAGTTCCCCCAGACGTCACGTTCCCGGCTCCCGACCCAGAAACGAAACGGATGTAGAAACGGCAGTTCGAACCTAACGATGCCCGGCAGACCGAAACGATGCCCTACATTCCCGAATCCCACTTGAAATCCAAGTAGATCTCTCCCAACGGCCCAGAACACTTCGAACCCGACGTACGCACGACGAAGCGACTTCTCGGCCCATCCGCAGCGCCGACACTCGCAGCAAGCAGTTCACCACTCGACCCTTCCGCAGCGCCGACACTCGCAGCAAGCAGTTCATCACTCGGCGCTTCCGCAGCGCCGAAGCTCGCATACCGAATCACGACAGCAAGCATATCATCACTCGGCCCTTCCGAAGCGCCGAATCGACAGAGCAAGCAGTCCCGACGCATCTACACACAACTACACGATCAACATACATTATACGATTACTTTGAAATGCACGTCTCTAGTTTTACCCCTCTGTGTCATTATTGGGGAAAGGGAGGTAAATCGATCTATAGAGGAATAAATATAAATATCTGTGACGAACCCTGACCACGGCGAGCTATACCGTCTCCCAAAACAGGGTCGTTACAGTATGTTTGAATTAACTGGAAGAAAATGAAAATTGTTTTGATAAAACCCATCCATGGGAATAAACGAAACAAAAATACAAAATCGGAGCGCAGAAAAAAAACACGACCGTTCACTTTGAAAGTCAAAGACGATACTTTTAAATACAATAACGAGAGTAAGTAATAATTTAATTATTTTATTAAATTTTTTCGAAAAAAAATGATTTCAATAATTATTCACAATGAAAACGACGAAAAAAAATATAAAATATCGCAATCGTCTTTGACTTTCAAAGTGAACGGTCGTGTTTTTTTTCTGCGCGGCGAATTTTGTATTTTGTTTCGTTTATTCCCATCGGTGGGTTTTATCAAAACAATTTTAATTTTCTTCCGGTTATTCAAACATAAATTTAAACTCCGTTCGCTTCGCGAGTGCACTTGTAATAATACTAACATATTGTTTTAGTTTTCGTAATTCTTATCTGTGTTTTCTTTTCTTATATCCCCGCCGTTTCTCTTTTGTGCACTTTAACTAATTTACGCTCCCACTGTCTTGCTCTCTTTGCTTTGAAAGTTCTAAGCGTGCAGTTTCTGCGCTCTTGCGGTACTTATAACTGCTTGCTTAAAAATTTCAATTCGTTTTCTTGGTACAGTGGTTCCAATAAATAAAATGAATAATACAAATTTAGTCTGCTTCTGCAAAAAATGCAGCTTCGTAATCGGGGCTGACCAGTCTAATATGATTTGCTGGCTGTGTGAAAATATGGTGCACACCAAGTGCGCCGGTTTTACTGGCCGGACAAGTGATTACCTTTCAAAGGGGCCCAATTTGCAGTTTTGTTGTGACGCTTGTGTCGAGGTTGCGAACGAGATGAAATCGTTCATGCGCCAAACTAAAGGCGGCCTGATGGGGATGATTAGGTGTTTCGGAGTTGCTAGAGATAGTTTTCGCCGAGCTGATGATCTCCTCTCTGCGCTGGAGAAGAGTCCCCTAAGCGCACAAAGGCCGCTGGTGGTAAGGAGCAAAAGGGGAACACCCCGCAACCGAAATCAAAAGAACAACAGAGCATTCCGGCGGATCAGCAGCTGATTTCAGCAAACCCTCAAATGTTGCTAAGATCAGCAGCTAAAAAATTTTCGGTATCCGAACAATCCGTTACAGAATGCATGCAACCAGGGACTTTTAAGAATTCCGATTTGTCCGTAGTGGTTTCACAATTAGTGGATCCACCTATCTCTCAGAATGTAGCATCACCACCACAAGGGACTACTGAGTCCGGACAACCGGCTCAAGTTGGTTTTGCAGAAACAATGTCTGCTCCACCAAAATCCCTTTCAGTGGTTCCACTAAAGAAACAAATTTTCGTTTCTCGGCTTTCCCCTGATCAAAGTTTTCTTATGCTAGAGACATTTCATCTTTCAAGATAACTGTCCCTAACGAGCTTTTTGAAGCCATATGCTCGGGCGACTTTTGGCCGGATAATATGGTTGTAAAAGAGTTCGAGGCTAAGATAAAGAAGAAGGGGCCCGTGGGAGTAAAACTTCCTAGTCGAGGCCAAGCTAGTGTACCAATTTCAAAAAACTAACTTCTAACCTCCTTCTTTCCTATCAGAATGCAAGAGGTTCGCGTAGCAAACTCACTAAATTGTATTCCGATAGCCTTTCCTTTGCATCTCATATTATTGTGACAGAAACCTGGTTAAAGCCTGAGATCTTTAGCTCCGAAGTTTTTCCAGGTAAGTACACAATATATAGGTATGACCGTCCCTCTAGACGGGGGGGTGGAGTCTTAATTGGAGTCGATTCAAACCTCCCGTCTGAGGAGTTATTTTTTAATGAATTCAATACCATTTAATTTATTTGTGTAAAGTTATCGCTTCCTGGTAGCTCTATATACATAACTTGCTCATATGTACCGCCGTTGTCTGAACTGCCTGGTTATTTAGATCACCTTTCCGTTATTAAGTCCGTTGCAAATAAGCTTTCCGATAAGGATCAGTTGGTAGGTCTATGTGATTTTTATATACCTGGAGTTACTTGGTCCACTGAGGATGGATCGAATGTCTTACTACCTATAGCACAGCATGATTTTATTGACGGCCTGGTTGACATATCTCTATCTCAAGTAAACCATGTTCGAAATTCATTAGTTCGCCTACTTGATTTGTGTTTTGTATCAAATCCTGAAGATGTGTTTCTGTCCAGAGTAGCACCACTCACGCAACCTGAAGATCCATATCTCCCTACAATCGAACTTTCATTTGATACGGGTAGAGTTATAGAAGAAAAATCAGAAAAATCATCCAATCGAATACATTGTTTTCGCAAGGCAGACTTTCGGAGGCCAAATAATTTAATTTCTGACTTTAATTGGTCTGATCTTTACTTATGCAATAATATGTCCGATGCAGTTAATGTTTTTTACACTGCAATAAATTCATTTTTTAATTCCTGTGTTCCGTGGTACTATCCGTCAACCAATAAATCACAGTGGTTTAGCAAAGAGTTGACACACTTAAGAAATGAAAAGTCCAGACTTTTTAGGAAATATAAAAATACCGGTTCTCAATCTGTTTTTACTAGATATTTAAGTGCTCGGTCAAGATTTACCGTGCTTAATGCTCAGTGTTATAATAGTTACCTAAACCGGTGTAAGGTCCAATTCTCTCAGGACCCGAAACAGTTTTATAATTTTGGTAACACCAAGCGTAAATCTAATTCTTTTCCTTCCTCGCTGTCGTTCGAAAACATGACGGCAACCACAGATCAGGCAATAGACGATTTATTTGCCCAATTTTTTCAAACGACTTACTCTACTTTAGATTATTCATCTCAGCCTTATTCTTACACCATGTCCAAGACAAACCTCATATTCTGTCCCACCTTAACAGAAAGCTCTCTTCTTTTGGATCTTCTTCGTATTAAGCCTGTTTATTCGCCAAGGCCCGATGGTATTCCTAGGTGCGTGCTTAGGTATTGCGCTAAGGCCCTGTGCAAACCTCTTCACAGGTTGTTTACCTTATCTCTTGAAACTTCCCAATTCCCAAATATTTGTAAGGAATCATTTGTTATTCCTCTTTTCAAAAAAGGTTAGAACAAGTTAGAAGCCAGTAACTACAGAGGTATTTCTAAGTTGTCAGCTATTCTTAAGCTTTTTGAAAAAATTATTACTCCTCATTTGCAGCACCTTTGCAGATCAATCATTTCTCCGTGTCAACACGGATTTATTAAACGTAGATCCACAATTACAAACCTTCTAGAGCTCACTACATTTGTGATAAAAGGCTTCAATAGTAGTTTTCAAACAGATGTCATTTACACTGACTTTAGTAAAGCATTTGACCCTGTAAATCACTTACTTCTTATTCATAAACTTGACCTTTTAGGTTTTCCAGTTGATCTGCTTAAATGGATTTCAAGTTATCTAAATGGCAGGTCACAAAGGGTCCTTTTTAAAAATTAAATTTCTGAAATTCTCCGTGTTACCTCCGGTGTCCCACAAGGGAGCCATCTGGGTCCATTACTTTTTACATTATTTATTAACGATCTTCCCTCAATTATAAGTCATTCTCGCGTAGGTATGTACGCAGATGATGTTAAGTTGTGCCTGCACTATAAGGACATTTCCTGCCATTTAGACTTGCAATCCGATCTATATAATTTTCAAAACTGGTGCCGAGATAATTTACTAAATTTAAATGCATCCAAGTGCAAGCTGATGACCTTTTATCGGGTCAATTCGATATACGCGACTTACACATTAAGTGGCAGCTCTTTGGATAGAATAACTCTTGTAAACGATCTTGGCGCTCCCTTGTTCCCTAAACTGAAATTTTCAAACCACATTTCGTCCAAGGTTAATAAAGCCAGAGGAGTGCTTGGATTTATTAAAAGGTGGTCAAAAGAATTTGATGATCCTTATTTAACTAAAACTTTCTTTATTTCGTTAGTCCGTCCGATTTTGAAGTATGGGTCTCCCGTCTGGAGTCCACAATACGGAATACATATTGGTCGTATTGAATCTGTCCAAAAAAACTTCCTTCTTTTTGCTTTACGGCGCCTAAACTGGGATACAAATCTTAACTTACCTTCTTATTCTAGTAGACTTCATTTGATTAATTTACCCTCCCTAGCCAACCGTAGAACGATGCTTGGTCTTTATTTATAACCTTATACATGGTGATATTGACTGCCCCGACTTGTTAAGTCGGCTAAACTTTTCTGTGCCAAGTAGATTAACTAGAAATTATTTTCCCCTAAT